CACGGGGGCTGAGAACATCCTCTCAGTAATTTCAGCCGCCCACTTTTCCTGGCTCCCGAGTTGGTAGTTTTCACGCCACAACATTCATATGGTCGTACGCAGGGCCCGACGTGTCTGAGGGGTGGTGCCGTGGTCCTGGGCAGCACTTGACCGGAGAACCTCCCGGCGAGATTTTGGCACTGAAGCTTGCGTGATTACTGAGTTGAAATACCCGGGTAGACTCACACACATGTACATGCACATGCACACACACACACACGCACACACACACACACACATACACACACACACACAATGGATCGTCACAGTGCGTTTTTGCATTTGCATATATAAAAAAACACATGATCAGATTTTGTGTCAAGCATAATTTTTTAATTTTCCGAGAAAACTGAAAAGATCTGCAGAACGTTTGCTCACAGAAAAAACACACACTTATGGGTTTAAGAACGCCTAGCAAACGTAATTCTAATTTCCAGCTCTACATTAACAAGTGCCGACGAAAAACATTTTTTAGGCCAAAAATCTTCTATCTTGGCAAAACGCCGACTCAGGAAGTGTACAGACCACTTGCTTACTACGAGGGATTGCAGCCGGTCAAGGAAAATGTGAAAATATTACGTTTTGAAGCGCCGCTTAACTTCGTCACAGTGTCCGCTTTCCTTGACAAAATGAGTGATGTTTTACATGGCGATGCAAACGGTCAGTGCAATTCAGAAAATCCAGAAAACGTTAGTCTTCCGATCGCATTTTTAAGGTTTCAGCAAAATAAATGTTTCCTAACGAAATGTATCGTTTGTGGGTTTTTTTAATGTGCAGTTTCCAATATTTTTTTCGTCTTTTTCGTTGTTTTACACTTTATTGTTTTATGGTTTTTTGGCTGCAAAAAAGAGAAAAACTATAAAAAAGTATTCGAAAAACTATTTAAAAAACCAAAAAAACTATAAAACACTTTTCTAGTAGCTTGTTTAATAGTTTTTCCTCATGTAATTCTTCCTGATTTTTTACAGTTTTATAGTTTCTTGTTTTTATTTTATGGCTGTTTTGTGGCGTTTTTTCTAGCGGTTTTTGTAGTTTTTAAACACTTTTTTATAGTTTTGGCCTGTTGTTTTTATCACGTTCTTTTTTTATAGGTTTCCCGTTTTTTCCGCACTTTGTGTTTACGTACTAAATTTTACAGCATTTTTGCTGCATAGTTCTTTCGGCCTTTTTCTAAAAGATTGGCAAATTTTAGTCCGAATTAATTTTTTATGTTTTACTTTGCAGCTTTTCCACATTTTACAGTTTACATGGCTTTTTCAAGAATTTTCAGTCCTTTTCAGCAAACTTTGTCCCTGAAATATCAAATCAATAAAATTTCACTCGTACTTTCACTATCATTCCATTAAAAATAATGACGTGCCAATTCGAAATGTAACTGGTGACCGCTGACCATGATATCTTGCTTACTTTAACTGAAACGAAAATCCATGTGAGTTGCAGAATAAAGCGACGGATCCGGAAATGGCGGCAGGTTCGAGCTACGAAGAGCTCTCGCAGAGGGATGAAATAACAGAGGGAGAAAATAAACGGCGACCGAAAAGTGAGGTTACAAACGGGGGGCTGGTGATCATCGTCGACTGTGGTGCCATAACAAGCATTGATTCTATGGGAGTTGAAGCCTTGAAAGAAGTAGGTTGTTTGGAAAAAGCTATTTAGTTTTTAGTTTTCTCCAACAGTAGCGCCTGAGTGAAATAAAGCTGCGTGCTGTTTCGTAGCCACTGAAAGAAGGCGCATTGTTTTTCATCAAAAAATCCTTTTCTTTGCACAAGTTTGGTATTTAAAAAATTTGGCATTTTTATGTATTTTTATTACCAGTGAAAAAATGCTCTCATTAAAAACGTTCGAATTTTATTGTTTTTTATTAGACACATTATTTAATTTTTTTTTAGACTTTGTTCTAAATTTTTTTCTTTTAATATTTTTTTTTTGATTTCTTTTATAGTACGTCTCCCACAAAATGCTAACCCAGGCATCACATCATGATATAGGGATGGCAACGGATCAGGCAATGCCAGGGCATGGCACCTTCCTGTCCTGATAGTGCCGAGCATGTCGAGAAGACAGTCCGCCGCATTTGTGCGACTTGGTCTGAATAACGCGAATTAATGTCAGCCTGAACAGCGTCAAAATCTTAAGTAAATGTGAAGCAACAACGTACGCAAAAAAAACGCAAATGTAAATAACACAGTTCACGATGGGGACTAACATGCTAATACTAGAAAACACATTGATGTCCGATAGTAAATAATGCAGTTGATGGCACTGCCTGCCATATATATTCGTTTTTCAGGTCTATACAGAAGCAGTAAAAGAAAATATGGAAGTTGTATTTGCAGATGTGTCAGGTTTTGTTTTTCAAAGCGTTAAATTTACAAGATTTAAAAAAAAATCACCGGAATCTAGAACACTGCAGTTCAGTGGTAGGTGTTTGTGTTCTGAAAAATACAGTATTAGTTTCAAATTATGATTCATGAAAGTATTAAGACACGCGGACGCCGAGTGCTGGTGAATAGTTCCCACGAGGAAGTGACGATTCCTCGGGCGAATTCTGGTGGGACTTTTGGTAATTTCAAAAGTTTACCCAGAATACTTATCGACTTGTCGGAAGCCCATCGGAGAATAGCCAGTGCATCAAATATCAAACGTCAATATCGTCATTGAGACCGAAATAACTGCCGTGCTGCTGGTCAACAAATTCGTATCATAAAAAATTAGTGGGGCCACAAGCAAATCCTCCAAACAGCAATGCAGAGGACCTGAGCCAAAGCCAGACGCCGCGTAATTGCGTAGAAAGCAAGACATCTTATTCACCTTTTTAAACAAATTTTGGTAGGAAAGATTAGAAGGGTATTTTTCTTTTAGAGGCAATATTGGATACGTTCGAAAACATCAGCTTCTACTCGTCAGTTCCCAAGTCAGCATTCTATCCGTCTGTGGGCAAAGCAGTATTTGCTGTCACTTGAATTGTCACAGATCAATTCACTTATGTATTTGTACCTCCGTGCATGCTTCGGTGATCAGTCTTCCGATTGTATTATCATGTTTTTTTTAAGTTAATAGATGTTTATGCCAGTCTCTTCATCGGCTTTCTGTACCAGAAATGCAAAGACCATCTGGGCAGTCAGTGCGAGTATCCCGTTCCTTAGTCATTTTATCGGGATGTTTCCATACGCTCGACGAGGATCTAACGCGGAAAAGTTGTTTCTCATGAAGTAAAGACAAAATAAAAATGTCACAAACGAACAAATAAATAAAAGCATCGAAATAAAAATAACTAGAAATGAAGATAAAAAATGAAATAAAAATAAATGAAAATACCAAGACTGAATAAAAAACA